AAAACATTTTCGAGATAGCATGCAAAATATGCATGGGTGAAAAAACAACAGTAACAGAACAGTGACAGAGGTGTAACTTCAATAAAAAACTACAAGAAAAGGTTCTGACTTTCTACTCTTCCCTGAGTCTGTGATGTTTTAAGTGGGTTTCGACAAAACACTGACCCCCGGTCAACTGACCCCCCTACTGACCCCCTACAAAATCAATGGGAAAATGAATACTGCTTACTTAAGCCTCAACATCCCTTTTTAAACAGCATTGTTCAACAGTATTTAAGTCGAAGCACCCATTTTAAAAAGGTTAGTTTTCGATTATTGTTGTGATGGCCGATTACTTCATGTAAGCTAACCTTTTTAAAATGGGTGCTTAGACTTAAATATTGCTGAACAATGCTGTTTAAAAAGGGTTTTTGAGACTTAAGTCAGCAGTATTCATTTTCCCATTGATTTTATAGGGGGTCAGTAGGGGGGGGTCCAGTTGACCGGGGTCAGTGTTTTGTCGAAACCCGTTTTAAGTAACCTATCATGCCCATTTAAAGAGATGAATAGCCCCTTGCACCATATTTTAATGCTTTAGCAAGGTTACTCTTGAAAGAGACGTAGTCAGTATGCGATGACTGAAGAACAAGCCTGTGAAAACAAGCTTTACTTTCAGGCAGGCTTGTTACTTCCGTGTGTCATCCAGCTGTAGCCAAAGTTGCTGTCCATATGGTGGCAAAACCTCCCATCCTGTCCAAAACGACAGTAGATCACGCAGACCAGAACCAGCTGCAATGAGAAAACATAACAAAGGCATCACTATAAAGCATCTGAACATGAAATTCCTCCTAGGCAACAATATTCGTAATGGCAAATATAACTTTTCAATGCTTTCACTTTTACATGCTCGGAATGTTTACTTTTCTTTAGCAGTAAAGACACGAGGTGGCTAATCACTGTTACCCTACAACTGAAATTACATCGAGCAATGAAAATCCTGCTAGTGGAATTATCTATCCCCCATACAGTGTTTGAGGAATGAAATGCTCAAGGATAAATGGCTTAAATTCACTGGGGAAAGAAGAGGTACTGGAAGAAGAATAGAAAACGTATAGTAGACATAGCTGAGGTAATCACTTACCTTCTGCTTCTCTGCTAACTTCATCGATGAAGCGATGCAAGAATCCCATGATAACTTGCCCTTGGGGGTTGTTTTCATCCTCGATGGAAATCCTACCCTTGAGTTCTTCTTTGTCAATTACTGACTCGCATTCCCTGGGAAACACGGCTGCGGCCATTTCCTTGTGTGCCTTTAGGTAATTGACAAGGGAAAGCTCATTCATTCCTGCAGCAAGATCTTTCAGTTCACGGTGGCGCTTTTCGATCACATTGTGCAGCATTATCTGCTGGAGAACCAAGTGCCGTTTCTCTCCCCTTAGCGGCACTTGAAGTACTGACGCTTCATCACGATAAGGCAAGAGGAATTCTTTAAGTGCATCTGAGGGTTCTTCATCCTTATCAAGACTTGATAACTGCAAAACCGTTAAATTGCTATGGTGTTGTGACTGAACAATGAAATGCTTCTTACGACAAATTATAAACTTATAGTGTCATTATAGATGTATACACCTATTTGGAACACACTTGTGCCTTTTTTCAAATATAAACAGGACAGTACAAGTGCCATATCAAACAAAAATTAACCAGAATAAATATTGTTAGTAACACTAACATGTTGCTGAAACATTACACAGAAATACGTAAGTAATGTCTGTACAAAACAAGATCATCAATGCGAGTACCTGCTTCAAGGCTTGTCGAAGGTCATAATCTGGGATGTCCTCCATGGTAACAGCTTCACTGATGCTTTCACGAGTCCAAAATTCAAGCACTGCTGGGGAAAGTCCATAAAGTGGTGGTCCTCCATGCAAGAAAGAATGTGCAATCATCCGTCCAACACTAGTGTACAGTCCAGAATTACACAGTAACGCATTTGGGACTGGAATTTTGTGGTCAGTCTGGCCCTCAAATAACATAGTCAGCCGCCCAGGATCATCCACGTAAAGACCATTTTGAACAAATCCCATTAATATGCTAAAGAACTCTCTGACAGGTCCCTCGCCAACTGCTCTTTCATTTTCAAATTGCACTCGAAGGTTTGAGCGAAAACATGGGTTGGCTTTCTTATAAATGGATAAAACATCTGCAGTGAACTCCTCCGTCATCCGATTTACATAGATTCTCAGTGGTGGGCCATTTTCATCCAGAGTTTCTTGTTTGTACTGTGCAACAGGGTCAGTACAGGTACTGACAGTACTTGAGGATACATGTGCTTCAAATGGTGATTGCATGAGGTCACTGTCTTCTTACATGTCCCAGCAGACCACTGGATAAGCCTTGATGCAGCCACACTTTTATCTCCTCCACTGTCTGCCAAGATTGCTCGGATAGTGTCTATACTTTTGTCTGGAAAAAGTGCACTTAATTCAGCCACAGCATCAGATTCCTACAAAAAATATTA